GGGGTGGCGGCAGCAGCCAGAGCATGCAACCTCCACGGTCACTTGCTTTCTTAATTTTGCTGTGCCCCGGGAGAAGGCAGAAATTGAGCAGCAGAGGTGGTGGCGGCAGCTGGAGCATGCAGCCTCCATGGCCACTCACTTTCTTCTTTCTTGCCATCCCATGGGAGGGGGCAGAAATCAAGTGGTGGGGATGGCAGGGGCTGGAGCATGCAGCCACTCTGGCTATTCACTTTCTTCATTTCGCCAGAGTGGGAAAGACAGCCAGCCGAGCCCAGGGACAGTTGGGGAGGCCCAGCAAGATCCAGGAACAGTGGAGCGGGTGGCAAGTTTCAGGGTTGGTGGGGTTTGTAATTTTTTCATGGAGCACTTAGAGCAAATGTAGTAGTTATAGTTTGAGAGTTTTGATACCCAGTAGTTCGTGTAGAATCTAAAAGAATTTGATACTATTGTTTTTCCCTTGAAAAATTAAAATATCCAATGGCATTCATTATTTTGAGGCAACATGATACATTGTTTGAGCATCATGGATTTATCATCACGGAGTTTGAGCATTATGGAATAAAAAGCTGGAATATCACATAAATATTAATAGATCAAATGTTTTTTTAATGTTTTGTTTATAATGAAATATCAATCTATCAAACAATTTAATTTTTTTTATTGGACTCCTCAAAGAATCCGCCTCAGAAAGGATGGCATATGACTTCTGATTTGAGCTTCTTCGGTGATGGACCGAAATCTGTGATCGTGTGTGGTTTCGATCTGTGCTTGCTGCTGGAGCACCTCGAGCTGGCTGGTTTGGGGATTAAGCCACCCCATAGAGGTGAAGAGTGGGGAGACCGCCAGCAGACCTCCCCAGCTAGCCATTATTCCCTTTCCCAAAGGCAGTTGCAGCGGTGGTCAGAAATGGCCACCTCAAAGAAGAACTGAACTGGAAAAGAATGTGCAGGAGGAATATAAGAAGAGAAAGTTTTGGCTGACCAGGTCAAACTGAAAAAGCAACAACATAAGGTACCCTGGAATTTGAATTATTAAGAATAACATTCTCCCAAAGAAGATTTTGAAGTGGCGAATGAGAGAGGGAAAGGAAAGGATTTGGTTTTTTTTCCTTCCCCATATTAACAACCAAGAAATTTAAGTAAGAAACTGACAAAAATCCACTTTGGCATTAACAGGCATTTAAGCTGAAAATAAAATGTCAAAGGGATAATAAAGATTTCTGGATTTTCAAAAACTTTTAAAAGAAGGAAAGGAGAGAAAAGGAAAAAAAGGGTGGGATCTGAAAAAAATGGAGGAGACTACCTGGAAGTAAAAGGAATTAACAGTGAATCTTTAACAAGATTTCTAAAAGATACATTCCAACTGAAACTTTGTAACAAGATAATAGAATCCCAGGAAGAGAAAGTGGAAAAAAGAAGCAAGAAGAAACAGCTTGGATTATTTGGATCACTGGGAGATTTTTGGATTTTTGGTTATTGGATCTAAAGAACTAAAATCAATTGGGTGGTTGTTTAAAAGTTTTAAAAAATGGTATCACTCTTGGAAGAATTGAAAATGGAACTTAAAAAACAGAAAGAAGATGCACAAAAAGGAAGAGGGTTTTTTGGTTTCGTATTTCAATTTTTAGAAATGGAGATCCTGAACTATGAGAAACAACAAGAAAAGCCTGTAGATCAAAAAGTGCAGAACAAAGAAGAAGCCATCTTCAATGACCAAGTAATTCTTTGTGGGGGGAAAAAAGAAAGAGGGGAAAGAGAGTGAAAAATTTAAGATCTGAAAAAAAAAGGAATAGTTTGAAAAGTAATTACAATATTAGGAAGAAACAGAAGAGAGGATTACAGGAGCGAATTAGAATTAGAGAGACAAGGGGTCAAAAAGGGGAGGGAGAAGAAGAGGGGGAAGAGGGAAAGGAAAAGAAGTTATAAAGTACAGAAACAGGGATATAGAGAAACAGGGAAAACATACAAGGATTAAAGGTATAAACCTATTTAGAAGACATAGAGATAATGGGTGAAAATTTAATTGAAAGAGGGATTGTGCAAGGGTACATAAGATAGTATTGTTATATTAAAAATAGAAATTAACTTAGAAAATATGAAACAAGTGTGATTAAAATGATAGATAAAATATCATGGTAATGCAATGGAATGTTTGTTAATAAATAAATGAAATAAAGAGAATGGGAGAATGAAATTAGGAAAGGATGGGAACATTTTAATTATTATTAATGACTTATAAAATTTTAAGTGAAGAGAAATATGAAAGAAATATGAAATATTATAAGTGTTCCTAAGGAGGTATGATATTCCAATTATGTGTTATATTGAATGTTATAATTGTTGGGAATAAATTGAAGTTTAAATAAGAGTTGAATTGACAAAAATTAAGATACAAAGGTGTCATACTCCAAGCAGTAACTACAGGGGAAAATTTTAATCAGAAAACAAAATGTGAAATTGAAACAGGACAGACAAAAGTGTAAATATAATGATTAGAGAGATGTTGAAACATATATATATATATATATACACACACACACACACACACACACACACACACACACAATTCTAGAATCTAGAAAAGAATGAGATAATTAAAAGCAAGGTTGAGAAAACTAAGAGAAGGGAAAAATTATTGAGAAAATATTAAAATAGTAATAAGATATGGAATAGAACACCAAGATGAATAATAAATTGAGTTTGTGTCTGTATGGAGAAGTGATAACCTGGGACCATGCTATTCTCAAAAAAAAATATTTTATTTGTATTATGTTTTGTGAAAACCTAAATAAAATTTTTACACACAAAAAAAGGATGGCATATCAACTTTCTTTATCGGTGATTATAAACATTTATGGATACATTAATTCATATCATTTTATTAAGACTGGATGAAGTTTATTTTTGCAAAGATATTGTAGATAAATATGTAGATATATGAATAAAAGTTTTCAAATTAAATATGTCAAATTTATTTTTAAATATTTCCCAACAAAAGTTATTTTTTCATGCACAATTCAATATATTGTTATTATGCAATATATTTAGGGGTTTATATTAAATTATTATACTGATTTTTGGGATTTTTGTCTGAATTGATAGATATTACAATTTTTCTTTATGTCTGTTGTTATAATGCTTTTTCTATATTCTGTTTTAAAGTTTAAATGACAACTTAAATCACTGTTGTATGGGACATGATTCTGAGTATAAATATTTATTTCCTTTGTTTTTTTAAAAAATATAGTAAGCCAATCTGAACTTTATTATATTTTTCTCTGAAAAATTAATAGAACTTATGCCTTCAAAATTAGATGGTGAAAAGGTTTGAACATTCTAAAGACTGGAAAAAAGAGCTTCTGGTATCTATGGATAATGCATACCACGAGTTGCTATTACCTATCTTGAACCAATTTTGTGTCACAGCTATTCATGTTGACATTTAGAGGTGCTTCTCTCAAGATGGACCTATTTAATCTGCAAATCAATTTTATGTAGCAAATATTATGGTTGTGCAAATTATTTCAACTGTGGTATGAGGTAGAAAATTGTTTTAAAGTAAGCAGCTGAATGATCTCATTATTCTTATCTCATCTCCATAGTATTACTTTACTCCCATTAATAATCAGATTGATGTTCTTCCTAATTGGTTTTGGAAAGTAACCATAGTGATAAGAAAGACCAACAGTCAAAAAGAGCTATAAAATCATTTGGTGTCTCAAAATTTTGTAAATATCTATAGCATCTTTTGAAGTTGGGTTGAAGCTCTTTAATTACTAACCATTAGCAAGTTTAAATGAATGGATGTTGGACAAAGAACAGCTGTAAAGTTTAACACTTCATGTTGATTTAGGTGAAATATTTCATAGTTTTCAAATTGTTTCAGATTCAGTTTACTTTGGTTTTTATTCCCTGTCTATTTCAGAAGTAAGTTAATATTCTCATTTGTTATTTCAAGATGAAGCATTTTGATTTATAAATTACAGATAACTCATCTGACTTCAGAAAGTAAAGTCAAATAATGTTAAAACATAAATGGAAAATTGCCAGGAATCCTGAAAGAAAATAATCAAAAATCACCTTTGTACAGTTGTCAAGAAAACCAAGTCGATAACTCCATTAAGTTAGCAACAGTGAAATTTAACCTGAAGTCACCAGCAGTCAAGTTAACACGAAGGACAATTTGAATTTATACCTTAAGGAGGACATAATGGTGATCAATGTGGAAAGCCAATTAAAAGCATCCTAACTTAAGTTCAGAATTGCTTTGACCTGCAAGATGTTTGGCAAATAAATCTGATGATAACAGTAATAATAATAAGTGGGCATACAATTTTTCTTGTTGAACATTTTTTGTTTCTCTTGTTTGATTTGTAATATCTCCCACTGCAAGAGACTAAAAATAGCTTGAGATGCTTGGCATAACTCCCAGATTTTTTTTCAAATGGACACTTATGAAAGAAATTTCCCTTTAACTCATATAGAGCAACTGATTTTATATGCTTTAAATTATTAGAAGGTGGAAGGATTTTTCAATATCAAATATTTAGAGATAGTTTTGCTATTGGGTTACTTCAGTGTTGAAGTAATTAACTACAAATGGTACAATGTGAAAAAGAACTGAAGCATGGAATAATGTTGAGCAAGCATTGTTTTATCATTGCCACAGATGTATAATAGTTGAAGTTATTGTTACCAAAATCTTCATTCAAGAATTATCCATTGAGAATAAGATATCAGAGTTCAGATTTTTTTTCACTTTCTGCCTTATCTGGACCCCAACAATAACTAAATTCTGCTGTGCTTTTTGTGACTAACACCGAAAGTATAGACTTTTATTTTGAAGCAATTTCAAATATATATCTAGAGCATTAGATGTGCATAATCATTGAATGTTTAATTATGTTCATATACTACATGAAAGGAAAACTAAGAAAGATCTTAGGACAACTTAAAACAGAAATTTGGATTTAAAAGATACAGAATATACATGTATTTGGAATGGACCATGAATGGAATACCACTGAGATCCCATCTAGGAATCTAAGCAATTCAGAGGTAAATCTTTATATATTTGTCATATTCTGTGTGATGTATACATAGCAGAATAAGTTTTATTTATGTAATGGGTTTTATGAGGAGATAAATGTTAAATTAGATAATAGGCAGTTGGATAAAACATTGCTATTATTTTTTGTAATAACTGAAGCGTAGCATATTCTTTGTAAATCTGAGTACTTGTGAACAGTTCTACTTAATCCAATAAATGTATCACTTACTTTAATGAACTTTTATAAAAGTAGATTTTCTAGGTATTGTAGAGATAAAGTAAAAACATGCAAAATGAAAATCATAACAATAACATCAGCATGCTAAAAGCAAAGAAGCAAAATCATTTATTATATGGTACAAGTTAGTAGAATATTTATTATTCCTTCTGCAGTCAGTCAGTTGTTTTATTTCAGTCACTGACTAGCAAAACAAGCATCCCCATCTTTTAATTTCAGGGGCTTACAAAAAAATGGAGTTGAGAAAAAATTATACAAAGATTAAGTGATATCTTTCATTGGCATAATTCCGACTTCTCAAACATAATCTGGAATTCATGAAATACCTTCTCAGAATTCACCTGCAAATTAAGAGCAAAACTTTTAATGCATTTGGCTTTTTAAAAATGTTGCTATTATATTAAGGATAGCTTGTAAATTTTTTGAAATCTGTAATGGTGAGACTTCTCAAATTCTAAATCTATTAGTTAAATTTTGATATTTTTAAAGTGACAAGTTAGTCTAAATAAATAAGTTCATTCATTTCCTTTTAAAGAAAAAAATAGAAAAGATAAATCTCTCCTCCCCCAAATTTTGGAGGACTTGGAATAGTTAAAATAGCATTTTGTGTACTAATCATAAATTAACATGTCTATATTACTTAATATTTGGCACCTATATATTGCATTATTGTTATTCAAGTGCAAATAGAGGTTAAAACCTGATCAGATGAATACATAATGCACTACCCTTCTACATATCACATGAAACTGTCAGAAGCATTGCTAATGTTCTAGGCTAGAGGAACATCAAGAAGAGAAGATACTTTTCCTCTAGGTCCCAGTTTTGATGGGAATCCTTTCTCTTCTTCTTAAAATAAACAATTGCATACCTAGTTATCTTGTGGACAATGCTACATCTAGTTTTGCCCTAAAATAAAAAAGTTAGAGCCTGATATAGGATCAGAATCTGATGATAAAATCTGTTTTATACAGTGAAATATCCCATTGTTGAAAAAAATATTTTTTTTTTGAGAAGGAGAAACAACCATGGAAGTATATGTATTTCAAACTCTGTAGAGAAAATTCATATATGCTTCTTGTCCTTATCTTCAAATAATTTTTAATGAGACTGATAGAAAGGGCAGAAGAAAATATACACTTAAATGAAGCAAATGTACTTTATAGAATTGACTAATGCATAATAAAAGCCATTAGGAAGAAGGTTTTGAAAGATCAGACACATCAATTTCAGAAAAATGCAAAGGGTATCTGTCATAATACTTAACAAATCCATAAGCAAAAATAGATAGATTTGAGTTTTTTGTTTGATTTATTTAGGGCAGGGAATAGTTGTGAAGACAATTATATTTGATAGACTGGGATTGTTTTCAGGGCGTCTAGTATTTAGGCAGTAACACACAAAACAAGCAAGATTTAAAATGTCCATATAGGTTTTCTTAAAAGAAAAGTAACATAAGGAATGTGTTTTTTTAGTCAAGAAGGATAAGTGATGAAAGGGGTACCCAATTATCTTTTGGCTATCTCCTTCTCTCCCCATGTAACTCTCTCTTATTTTCACCCTCTAAGATTCTAGAATCTAGACCTATATCAACAATTTCAAATATGCAACTGTGATTATATAGCAATAAATTTGTGCAAAGGAATGTCTCTTGTGAGATTTTTATTCGTGTGCTAGAAAGGAAAAAAGGAAGGAGTTTGCTTTCATAGACTGTGCAGTTGAAAAGAGGTGGAATAAAGAAACAGCAAGTGGTTTAATTTTTTTCAATTTTTGAAACTGTTGATTATATAAGTTAATGTTTTAATATGGAAGGGATGAACAAGTTTAACCTATCTAGTTTTGTGACACATTAGATAACAGCCACATAAATATCTGACCCTATAAATATATTTAACCTATGAAAAATCCTTGTGTGCAATAATCCTTAACCTGATTCTCTTGTTTCCCACTAGGAACAGCAATCTCACCTGTCGTTCTTTGCTGAAAAACTTATCTTATGAAAAAAAAGCTTCTCAGAATCTTTCTTTCAGACAAAACCAATAGCTAAGAACTATAAAGTTATATAGCTGTATTGATTATTTGCATTTAATATAAGGCTGATTGTGACAGAGAAATTGAACTTTCCTAGTTTGAAGCTGAACTTACAGTTTAACTTTAAAGGTAACTTAGTCTTCAAAAAGTAGTTCTAGTCTTTGGCAAAGAAGGGAGGCACAGTGCTCCCATTACTGCCTTTTCTACAGTCTCAACTCTGAGACTTCCTTAAATTCAAAATTTTCAAGAAAATAGGTGAAAAATTCTGCTCTTTTATTTCTTTTGCAGAAACAAATGAACAAAAATTTCCTGCAAAACACAAAAATGTATTTGCAGAACTCATGTTGAGAAAATTCAAAGGATGTGACATACTTAGGAAAGTACATAATTGTTCTCACTTGCCAATATGTTGCCTGAATTGCTTGACTCATTCTGGTTGGCAGGGGTCTAAAAAAAAATCCCAATATTTCTTTGTAAGAAGAGGATCTATTAAAAACATATAAAAAAAATTCCAGGTGGTTCAGATATATGATTTCCAATCTTCATTATTTAATGAAATTGAGAATAATATTTCTAAACGTCCAAAACATTTTCAGAGAAAATGTGAGATACTGGTCTTAAGGAAGAAAAGGAAGAATGGAGCTTAGGCCACCAAGATTAATAACATTTTCCCTTTTTATTTCAGAATTACTCTACTTTCCACCAGCAAAAAGGAAACCAGTCAACTACTACAGAATTTATCCTTCTGGGATTTGGCAATTTTCTTGAACTGCGAATAGTCCTCTTCATATTATTTCTTCCTGTTTATACTTTGTCCCTTGCTGGAAATCTCCTAATTGTTTCACTGGTTGTGATTGACCAGCATCTTCAGGCCCCCATGTATTTTTTTCTTGTTAATTTGTCTTGTTTGGAGACCTGTTACATTTCAACCATTCTGCCCAGGATGCTAGCTAGTTTTATAACTGGAGATCAATCCATATCAGTCTATGGATGCATTATACAATACTATTTCTTTGGATTTTTTGCAGCCACTGAATGTTACCTTTTAGCAATGATGTCTTATGATCGATATATAGCAATATGCAAACCACTACATTACAATATTCTCATGAATGGTAGGCTCTGCTTCCAACTGGCCTTTATATCTTGGATGAGTGGCCTTTTGACCAACACTATCATAACTGCTTTTCTGCTGGAACTTACCTTCTGTGGTCCCAATGAAGTTGATCATTTTTTTTGTGATATATATCCAGTAGCAAACATTTCATGCAGCAATACACATTTAGTAAAGCTTGCTACATTTATTTTAGGCATTATGGGAACAGGTCCACCCTTTCTCATAACAGTGGCCTCATATATCTGTATTCTTCATAATGTCTTACAAATTAATTCTAAAAAAGCCCAACAGAAAGCCTTTTCCACATGTTCATCCCATCTGATTGTAGTGACACTTTTCTATGGGTCAATATTTCTTGTCTATATAGTCCCAGAGATTGAAACACTAAAACAGCTGCACAAAATCTTTTCTATATTCTATACTGTCCTGACTCCTATGCTCAACCCCCTTATCTACAGCTTGAGAAACAGAGAGGTGAAGGAAGCTCTTTTCAAAGTAATCAGAAAACATAGCAACAAAATTTCATAATCTCATAGTACTATAAATGTCTTAATGCAAATCAGGATATTCAGAAATGATTTTTTCTGCTTTTTAAATAAAATTATCTTGATCTACATCTATCTTTCAGTGATGACCAGATTACTTCTCAGTATGTTTGTATCTATGTATGTATGTACAAATACCTATTTAAATAATGGAGTTATTTAAGAAGTACTCAAGTGTCTTTCTGCTTTTAAATTTTCATTTTATTGCAGAAATTTAACAATATAAGTCTGCAAAGTAGTATGATCCAGAAATCCATTTTTCATTTTTTAACAGCAAGAAATTATAGTCAGTTTGCCTTACCCCAAAAGATACTCAAATGTTAGCATTCCTTTTTGCAGAATCAAGAAGTTAAGGGACAACCTTAGTGAGTGGTCTTCAAAGTGTATGTGTGATACAAACTAAAATACTACCCTCTTCTTTTTCTCTTTCCTGTCCAATTGCATTCCTTTTTTGCTGAATTTTATCTACTCTGTGTTCCTCAACATCCACATACATAAACATAGTGTTTTGTGGCTTTCAAGGAATGAGCTAAGGCATTCAACAACCAACAATGTTTATTGTAACAAAGAAACAAGTTACTCATGTCAGCCACTAACTAACAACATGGCTGGCAGATGGGCAACAGCTCATAACATCTGACAACTCCCTTTTATAGTTAGCTGTCAGATGGCTCAGCCAATAAGAACAAACTCTGCTCCTGCTTAAAATGTGGACTGTATTGGAAACTTCCGTTGAATGCAATACTCCTTTCCCGTGGGCTAGGAGCATGTGTAGTCCTTCAAGTAGGCCAGGCACTGTCTCGCTTGCCCTGGCCTTCATAGTTCAGTTCGCACAGCTAACAGAAGAGGATCTCCTGTAGGGCCAACAGTCTCCAGTAGAGGCAGTATTGGAGTTTTTGACTTGGGTTTGTGTAGGATACCTTCAAATGGTAGATCTGTTTCTGCGTTGTGGCTCGTGCGTTGTTGTCTCAAAATGTGGGTCATCGGAATCCACCAAATCTGACTGCCCTGTTTCTGTATGTTCATTCTCCAGTGGGTGACCTGGGGAAGTACTCCATCAACCCCTTACTTGAACGATATGGTGATGCCATATTCGGCCAACCTGTAAACTTACTTTGTAAGAACTGGGGCCTGTTATCACTGCCACTTGGCCTGGTACCCATAGAGGACTACATAGGAAATTCCTAGCATATATGGAATTGCCTATCTTAAAGGATCTAACCTTGCTATAAGAGTCTAAAGGAATAGATGCTGCATGTCTCGGGTGGAGCCTATCCAAAGTATTTCTTAACCTCCTTCCCATGAGTAGTTCTGCTCAGGAATGATTTGTCACTGTGCTGGGGGTGATATGCTGCAATAGTAAATATTTGGCTAGTTTTGAATGCCAATTCTCACTCCCCCGGCACCATAGGACTTCCTTGGCTTCCTTCCTTGACTTCCTCATGGGTCTCTCAGTCTGACCATTCACAGCTGGGGGATAACGGGATATAAGGGCATGTCTGACCCCCTTTTTGGCTAGAAATAATTTGAAATTAGCTGCTGTAAATTGTAGGCCATTGTCCGACAGCAGAATATCAGGGAACCTATGTGTTGCAAACAAATGCTCTAGTGCTTTAATTATGGCTTCTGAAGTAGTTGTGTACATGAGGGTCAGCTCTACCCATTTTGAATAAGAATCAATGATAATTAGGAATGTACGGCCTTGGAAGGGGCCTGCTAAGTCCATGTGGACTCATGACCATGGGGACTTAGCTGATTCCCACTCTCCTGGATTGGCCGCTGGTGGGGCTGGTCTAGATAACTGACATGCTTGGCATGTCTTGACCTTGTTTGTAATATTTGTGTCTATGCCAGGCCACCAGATGTAGCTCCTTGGCAGGGTCTTCATCCTGGCAATTCCTGGATGTTCCTCATGCAGGCTATCTATTATTTCTAGTTTCAATGTACTTGGAACAATAACTTGGTAGCCCCATAATAGACACCCTTGCTGGGTGGATTACTCATGCTCTCTGGCTCTGAAGGGGAGGAATTTGGTATCTAATGATCCTTCTGGCCACCCCCTCCTCACCCAGTCCAAGACTTGCAGGATTACCTGTTCTTTAGATGAGAAGTGTGCAATATCTGTGGCAATTATAGGTAATTGTTGATCTTCTAGTAAAAATACTGCTGCTGAAGGAGCGGGATCTACAACCTGGGTTGGCAAGGGGCAGCAGTTTAGGGCATCTGCATGGCTAATCCGCTCTGTGTTACAATGTGTAGGAATAGGCAGTGACGAAGAGTGTCCATCGAGTCATTCTGGGAGACAAAACTGTAGGGCTTTGACAATCCCCAGACAAGATGCTTAATAAGGGCTTATGGTCAATCATAAACTCAAATTGGTGACCATAAAGGAACTCATGGAACTTTTTTACAGCAGTGATGGATACTGGGGCCTCTTTATCAATCTGAGCATAATTCCCCTCAGTACTGGACAAAGTTCTTGAAAAATAAGCTGTCGGGGCTTCCAGGCCATTTGGCAATTTGTGTGCAAGGACAGTGCCAATTCCAAAAGGAGATGTGTCACAGAAAAGGACACACACACACAAAGGCAGATTCCTGTCAAATTGAATTAACATGCTGTCTGATGATAGAAGATCTTTGACAGCTCAGAAGGGAAAGTCCTCTTTGGGCCCCCATGTCCAGGTAGCATGTGCATCAAGAAGCCTATGGAGTGGCTCTGCAATGGAAGCTTTGTGAGGTAGAAAAGAGCTATAGAAATTAAGGAGCTCAAAAAAGCTTGCAGTTCTGTCTTGTTTGAAGGTGTTGGGGCATCCTTAATGGCTCTTACTTTTGACTCAGTGGGATGAATACCATTGGCCTCAATGTGGTACCTAAAAAGTCTACTTGGTTGACTGCAAATTTGCATTTGGATTTTTTAAACTTAAGACCTGCTGATTGGAAACAGGCTAGGAACCTTCTAAGGTGGGAAAAAAGTTCTTCTTTGTTGTGTGCAGAAATAATTAGGTCATCAAAGTAGGGCACTACTCCTGGTATGCCCTGAAGCAAACGCTCTATCAGGCATTGAAATAAGCCTGGAGCAACAGAAACTCCAAACTGCAAACATTTGCATTTGAAGGCACCACGATGGGTGACAATAGTTTGTGCGTCAGTAGTTGAGATGTCAACAGGTAGCTGCTGATAGGCTTGGCCCATATCAAGTTTTGCAAAAATGGAGCCTTTTCCCAATGAGTGTAATAAATGCTGAATTATTGGCACTGGGTAGTCATTGTTTTGCAAGGCCTTATTTATGGTACCCTTGTAATCAGCACAAATTCTTATTGAACCTTCTTGCTTGAATGGTATTAGAATTGGTGTTTCCCATTTTGCGAGATCTATAGGCTCCAGAACCCCCTGGGATATTAATTTATCCAATTGTTCATCCGTTTTTGGCCTTAAGCCAAAAGGAACTCTTCTAGGCTTTAACCTAATAGGTGCTATCTTAGGATCCAAGGTAAATGAAATTGGAGTTCCTACATAGTGACCTAAGTCGCCATTAAACACATCTTTGAAATCATTTAACAATTTCTCTAGTTCTCTAGTAACTGTATTCCAGTTACTTTTTAACCAAAGATTGAAACCAATCTAAACCTAGTAAACTAGGTAAGGTGCCTTATACAACTGTAAGGTGTAGGTGCCCCTTGAATCCTTGAAATTGGATACTAAATTTGCCTGTCCCAACAACTGGAATAGAGTGCCCCTGGTAGTCTCTGAGGGATAGTTTGCAAGGCAGGAGTCTTTTTTTTTTTTAGATTGTAGGAACCAACCTTTTTAATGTGCTCCAGGAAATGATGGAAAGAGATGAGCCAGTGTCCACCTCCATCTGGCACTGGTTACCTTCTAAAGAGACAATGACATGTATTTGGTTAGTACTTAACTGGTTAGAAAAGTTATTTAGTGACTCAGCATTGTAAGAAGCCCTGGTAATAGTAAAGCATTCTTCTTTTTGTTTTCATGATCTTAGTTGAGGTTAGTATTGAGGGGATTGATTAAAAATATTCTCAGATCTGCATACTCTGACCAAATGTACTTGTTGACTCTTTAAACAAACAATGTTTCTAAACCTGCATGTGGATCACAGGTGGTTTCCCCAACAACTCAGGCAACTCATTGTAGATTGTGCAGGCTTGTTATCTGGCATTCCATTCTTCCATTGAGTTGTCTGCTGTCCTCTGAAGTGATTTACGTCTTCTCCATTATCTGAAAACTCATCAGAAAAAACATCATAGAAATGAATGGTAGCATTTGGTTTAGCCCCAGCAGTGCTGCTAGAGCCTTGTATTTTGGCTGCAGAGAGAGTGGACATCTCTGTGGCTTGAGACTCTTCAATTGCCATTTTAAGAGTAAGATCAAATTTACTTAAAAGATATCTCTAAAGTCTGAGGTCCCTCCCTATGAATGCATGCCACCTCGTGACCCAGGAAGGTTTTGGCACGTAATAGTTGCCAAGAATCTCTTGTAGATCTTCCCAGGATACAGTCTTAACTGCCTGAGGTGCCAACAGTGCAGTGGCAATATCAAAAACTGCGGCCCCACAAAAACTTAAAAAGTAAGCTTTTTTCCTGTACTGAAAACTCCGTCAGATCAGCAGCATCCAGGAAGCAGTCAAAACGATTAATATAAGAGTCCCAAGTTTTGAATGATGGGTGGAAACACAGGAATGATGGAGTGGATGACATTTGTCCATTGCTGAGGGAACAGCTTGATGTTTCTTCAGCTTTAATTAACAATCGCAGCTCTCAGTTTCCTCAGTGGAAATTATCCCACCTCTGTCGCCAATTTTGTGGCTTTCAAGGAATGAGCTGAGGCAACCAACAATGTTTATTGTAACAAAGAAACAGGTTATCTGCGACAGCCGCTAACTAACAACATGACTGGCTGACAGGCAATAGCTGATACCATCTGAGAGCTTTTGTAGTTAGCTGTCAGATGGCTCAGCCAATAGGA